TTTACCCTGTTTACAAAAAAAAAATCTGATATACATCTCAAGTCATATTTTATTCCAAACAATTTGATATATAGTTTGTCAAAATGGGATATGAACTTTTCAAGTTATCACAACTTTCAGTCTCTCATAGAAATACATTACTTCACTTAATTTTGTCTCATTTCTTTTAGTTCAATTGTACTAAACATTTGTTGAATTGAATAGTACGACAGAAATTGCCGTAAAGTGTCAGATCAAATGGACGTAACGATTTACGTGAAGTTAAAAAAGTTTAATAAAGTTATATTTAAATCTGTAATTAAATCATAACTGAAAAGCATTTTGAAAATAACTGTATATTTGTTGATCTCATCATAAGATCTGATCCATTGATTCACTCATAACTTATTTGAAAACGCAATCTGAAGAAACATTTTGTTCACAACTGAGACAATAGTTTACTCTCTCATAGCTATGGCAAAAGTAATGACAGTCGTTTGGACTCCGGGCCTAACTGTTAGCGCACCGGCAAAAGACCCGTACGAGTTGACAGCACAGGGACTGACGGCACCCGAGGGTATGCCGACGGCCGATGCACTTCTCATGTTCCCACACATAACCTACATTGCAATCGCCACCGGATATGATTGTCCGATGGATGTGACCAACGCTATCACTCGTGAGCACCGGTACTCAAAGTGCTGTCAAAACCAGTGGGAAAATCGGCACATATTGTTTACAGAGGAGCGCAGTTGTTGTTATCGCTGGGATATGTATCACATTTACGACAAACTGGTAAACTATACCTCCGGTCACCCTATTTAAGGGCCGCATCGGGTGTTTGTGGCTATTAATTGCTAATAATTATTAATTGTTTATCACTACAACCGGTGCTCTACTACTCGTTAGATGAAAAACAAGTGCAAACGTAATGTAACGGCCGGTGAAACACAGTTTGATAACAATGTGAGGCTTTTGAAGAACGGGTGTCGACAGTACGTCCCGGCGCTCGACGAACAGTATTGCCGTCGATTACAGCCTCAACGCCCGGTCGACACAGAGTGTCGGCGTTTGTATGACTCGATTCACTCCGATTCACAATTGGACGTTAACTCCACAATGACTGTCAGCCCCGGTATCTCGATGTCAATTGTCAGTACCCATCGCTCATCCGGTGCCGCCTCTCACCGGACATCGACTGCTGTTATGGTATTATTGGCAGCAATAGTGGTGTCGATAGCCATCGATGTTTATAATATTTGTCCGCACTTTCATTAGTTTTAGATATTAAATACTAAATATTCCAATCAATGGCTAATACTTTTACTCTTGTATTTATATGTATTTTATAAATATCATAAAATTAATAAAATACATGTTTCAATTAAATTTTAATTAAATATGTGTAATATCTATTTGTAAATCTATTTTTAGACATTTTAAGTTTATAAACCTTTACTCTTAATAAACAGCTATTTTTTACAAAATCAAAATCTATACATAATATTAAAGTTAATAAATAGTTCTAACAAAACTTTCAAATAAAAATGTTAATAAATAAAATGGTGATTTGGGTTTAAATACATTATTTTGTTTTGCAAACTAGAATATCATAGAAAACCGAATTATCACATGATTTAAGTTTATTTAACATTTCATTGAATTCTTTATCATTAGTGACAACACTTTTATCAATAGACCACTCGTTATATTTGGCCAACACTTGCCGACACTCAGGCCGTTGTCTCCAATTAGGACTTGACATCATTGACTGCAATGTCTGGTATAGACATAGTATTGATGTCTTGAATACTGATTCTTTGGTGTCAAATGATTCCGAGCTTTTAATAAACAATAAATTTTAAAAATAAACTTTTTTTTAAAATTTTGATAAAACACTTACTCCTGGAGATCAATAGCACACAACTGCTGTCCAATTAAAGAGAGGCTATAAATGTCAGACTTATGATTATATTTACTACGCGACGTGACTTCCGGTGCCATATATGCAAAAGTGCCCACAAATGAGTGCTCATAACGATAGGTCGTCTCTCTATTAATGTCGTGTTCGGTGGCCAAACCAAAGTCACACAGTTTTACACAACGATTGGACCTAAAGTTGTTTGAAATTAATATATTGTCGGGTTTGAGATCCCGATGAATGATCGGTGGATCACATGAATGGAGATATTCAACACATTCTATGATTTCTTTGAATATTTCACATGAAATGAAAAATTCAAAAAAATTATTCATCTCTTCGTCCGGTTGTCTCTCAAAAACTATGGCTTTGTTTTTGATGAAAGACTGAAGACTTTGCGAACAAAATTCCATCTGAATATACATATGATTGGACTCAAGCCATGAGTTGTAATACTTTACCACAAAATCTGAGTCCAGTTTTGCCAAACATTTTATTTCTTTTATAACTTTTTCTTCTTTTTCTTTATTAATATCTATTAAAACAATTGTAAACATCTATATAAAATATAAATGAATAAAACAAATAATTATTGAATGTACTTTCAAATTGTACTCTTTTGACGGCATATATCTTATCATCCAATCTATGCTTTACTTTAA